GGCACAAATTAAATCTGTCAGAGTGGTATTAGATTTGCAAAAGCTCATAAATAACAAATGAAAGGTCACAGAGCTGTGAAAATGAGAGCGTACTTCATAAAGAGAACTGTATTCAGGGATGGGATCTGCGATGCATATTCAAATAGCAAAATCATAAAATGGAAACAGAATATCTTATCTAAATGTCTAAAACAGTCCAAAGGCACTGCAAATTCTGTAGAAGAGCATCAAAGTCCCAGAAAAGACTTTATATCATCTGAACATGTCCAGCATCACATTTGTGAGGTTTGTGGATTAAAGCTCCATCGGCTACTGAGAATCTGTGAGGAAAAGATACATCCCCTCAGCAGAGCTCATATTTCAGTAGCTATTAGGCTAATTGTGAATGCATGTCACTCATCTTTCATTTTTCAATTCCTAGAAAATACTAATAGAGTGAGTGGTGCTTCATGATTTACTGCAGGAATGTAAACAGTCGGTGGTATGAATAAACAGTCCTGCCCGTCCTATTTTTCTCATGGAAAAGAGAGGTGGAAAATACAGGTTTGTCTACTATAAAGTAGACAGGTTCTTTTACTGTGCATTGTCTGCATTTTTTTAGTCCTGTGTTGGTCTTGACTTTTACAAGGGAACAAAATTCATGTTTACAAAAATATGTGAGCTTCATCAAAATTAAAAACTTTTGTGGATCAAAGGACTCCATCAAGAAAGTAAAAGACAACACAGAATGGGAGAGGATATTTGCAAATCATTTATCTGAAAAGGGTCTAGAATCCAGAATATAGAACTCTTACAATTCAAAAATATTTAGACAATATTTGGGCAAAATATTGGGCAAAGGATTTGAATAGACATCACTCTAAAAAAGACATACAAATGGCCAATAAGCACATGGAAAGATGTTCAGCATCACTAGTTGCTTGAGAAATACAAGTCAGGACTACAGTGAGATATACTTCACAGTAACTAGGGTGGCTATAATTTTTTTAAAAAGTAAAGAAAATAAATGTTGGTGCAGATGTGGGGAAACTGGAACACATGTATTACTGATGGGAATGTAAAATGGTACAGCTTCAGTGGAAAACTGTTTGACAGTTCCTCCAAAAGTAAAACATAAGACCATAAGACCCAGCAGTTCCATTCCTGCATATATACACAAAAAAAACCAGAATATGTATGAACGCATACAAACATGTACATGAATGTTAACAGCAGCAGTATTCGCAATAGCCAAAAAGTGAAAATCATTCGATGTCTATCATCTGATAATGGATAAGCATAGTATGTTCATACAATAAAATAAACCTCAGATTTCTGTGCCAAGTGCTTTCTTTCTGTTTCCTGATCCGAGGTCCATCCACACTGGGTTTTGGCCCTCCACTCTGGCTGCTGAAGTGTAGGGGAAGGAGGGAGTTCCTTGTGGAGCAAAACTTGATCAATGTGAGCCAAGCAGGAAGGAACCAGGCAAATGACTTCTGCCTTTCTCCTTACACCGGCTACGCCAAGGTGCAGGCCTTCCTCCTAACCTTCTACCTTTGTGGCATTGTTTGAGGCAGTGAGCAGCGTAGTACCCTACAAGCACATTGCCTCCTGTTTTCTAGTTTCCCTTCCATCTGTCTTTTCCCCCTTTCCCTCAATGCCTTAGGCTTGCATCTTCCAAATAGTGTTAGGACACCAGGGAAGGGCATGGTAAGAGATGAGAAGAGAAAACATTCTGTTTCATATTGAATCCATTATTTTAGAAGACATATGACTATTTTCGGGTTATGTTCATTGGTTTTAGAGGAAAAGCTAACTAACTTGTGCATAAAAAGTAAAATTCAAACTCATTCTTTGAAAAATGTTATTTAAAATTTTTTTTCTCTTTATAAAATAATGTATGCTCATTTAAATGTTTTGAACATGTAAATGAATATTAAAACACTCCCTAAATGCTACATTATTTTGGTGTCTATCCTTTCAGTCCTTTTTCTAATTATACATAAACCTAGAAAAGACAAACTCTTTTTTTTCCAAAGAAATAATTTCACAAGTAAAATGTGTTGGGAGAATTAAGATTCAATCGCTTTAAGAATTTAGAAATTTATCATTAAACACATGAAATTCATGGTTAAAAAAATTATTTGAATCTCCCAAATTTGAAAACTCATGCTAAACAAATCAGTCCTAAAGAATTCTGCTGGCTCTTTCCTATAACGAGTAGAGGTGGATCTCTTGTACTCAATGAAATAGTCCCTTTAACTTTAGCCATGATGATCCGCCACCCTGTGCACACACAGGGCATAGCCTTGGAAGGGGCTACAAGGCAATGTGCTCCTGACTTCCATCAGCATCTTTTATACAAGTAAATTTTTTTTCGCTATGGAGATATTGCCATACAGTCAGGAAAGCTGTGGGGGAATAGATTTAGATCCTGGCTGCAAAGCAGGAACTTTGATCATTTTCTCATGAGGCACCCTGCTTGTTTTGAGCTGGGTGCCTCATGAGAAAATGATCAAAGCTTCAAGCAGCAATTGTAGCCATTTGGGTTTTTTGGCCATTTGGGTTTCTTTTTAGATTCTATGAACAGAGTGTTGTGCTCCAGTCCCTAGTTTTACGCTATGAGGCTGTTTTCAGTCCCCTATCTCACCTGAAATGGACTGAAATGTGTGCCCCCAAAATTCATATATAGAAGCCTAACCCCTGGTACCTTGGAATGTGACTGTATTTAGAGATAGAGCCTTTAAGGAGGTAATTAAGGCTAAATGAGGCCATAAAGCTGAGACTGTCATCCAATCAGACTGGGTTCTTATGAGTAGAGGAAGTGACACCAGGACTGTGCATGCAGGGCCAATCAGCACTCCAAGAAGAGAGACCTCAGGAGACAGCAGCCCTGCTGACACCCTGATCTTGGACTTCCTAGCTTCCAGAACTGTGAGGGATCTCTGTTGTATAAGCCTTCCAGTCGATGATATTTTATTATGGTAGCCTGGGCTAACTCATACACCATGTCTTTACTATTTTAATTTTGTATTTTCCTCTCCAGTCTTTTGTCTGTGTGTATTATGTTTACAGTTATACACATAATGTTCATGCCATTTTGATCTCTGACTCTCAAACTGAGCCCTGCCACAGATTGGGAGATGAGGGTATTGGCCATGGTGCTGCCAGGTCTCTATGGGGTGCTGTGCAGACCTGTCCCTGATGTGCAGCCTCACCTTACCAACCTCACCATGTTGGCAGAGAAAAGCCAGAATGGATGTGAAAAGAAGCACTATTGCATTCATTCAAGAGGAAGTGATGTTTGCTCTGTCGCTTGGCTGCTAACTTGCAAGGGAGAGATACGATGGATATTTGTTTTTTCATCATATTGTTCAACTAAGTGCCCAGCACAGTGCCTGGCAGTCACATTTATTAAGTGACTGAGCAGCTCATTCTCTTCCTGAATGCCAGGTTTGCTTTGGGAATCAAATTGTAAACAGATGATGGCATAATGAGCATGAAATTAGCAAGATTGGTGTTATCAAGCTGTTACAAGTGATAAGAGAGCTCTACTCTGTTTTCTAACAATTTGCCAAGTAAAGAATGATCAACACATCTGGTAGTAATTTAGCATGTTATGTATTTTATGGCTTCAATTATTTTAAAAAACTTAAAGTTATAATACTATTCATTTAATATTGTCCCATTCTATAATTTTGAACAATTGCTTGCACCATATAAACAGTTGGGTCTATTTCTGGGCTCCTTAAAGTGTTCTGTTTTCTAAATTCATTTTTATACTTTTTATCATTGTGTTTTGATTAATTTTGCTTTGTAGTACATTCTAAATCTCATTGGATCATATTGATTTTCTCTACTGAGTTTCTGTTTCATAATATATTTCCTTGCCTATGTGTTTCTACAAAGTAATTTTGGAATTCTTTTGTTAGGCTATTTTAAAAATCTTGTCGAATATTTATATTAAACAAAATATCAAAATTGTTGGCTTTCAGCTAGGTTAAAATAAAATGAATATCTAACCTTGACTCCTTGCAGAGCAATAGAGATAATGGTACTTGGAAAAATAGTAGAACATGAGGAATAAACTTTATAGGAAACTATGAAGATGGCAAGAGAATAGCACCTATATAAAAATTAAGACAGATCTCTGCATTCTCAGTAAACAGAGCAATTCAGCCTTATTACAGATTTGTATTTCCTCAATTTTGAGTGAAAAGGACAATCGGAATAAAGGACAGAGTAGATAATCACTTAGTGCTATAGCGATAAGACGGTATTATCAGTTTTTAAATACACCTTAAGTCAGTCTTAAGAAGAACACAGAATTGCCTAGTATTTAAAAATGCAGACTCCAAAGCCACACTGCCTGGGCTGGAGTCAGCTCTGCTCCTTATTAGCTGAGCCCAGTTTACTCAAAATGGGTTAATACTAGTGCCTACCTCGTAGGGTTGCTGGGAGAATCAATGGATATACACAAAGGACTTCAGTAGTACCTGGCCAACAAATATTAGTTACGTTAAAGAGGTTTTGTGTTATGGAGGCACTTTTTAATTTTGGAGAGGTCAGCTTTCCTGTGTTTGTTTTCCCAAATCTGAAAGTCTGGCCTGTACAGGTTTGCATGGACACTGTGGCCCAGCACGGCTGCACTCCCTGCCTGAACTGCACCATTCTCAGGGAAATGCTTCTGAGCTTTTCCTCCTGACTTCTTTATTGTACTCTGGCAGCCATCCCCTGGCCTCCTGGCAAAAAAAATGGCTGGATTTCATTAAAATTCAGTCTCTCTTGATACCATCTCTGCTGGATATAAGAGGGGACGGCTACCAGGGGAGCTTTAGCAACCTGATTAGGACTAGATCTGGGCTGAAATGTTCTAAGTGCTCTAAAATTACTGTTGATAAAGTTTTTCACCATGTCTACCCGCTTCCTTGTGTCCTTGGCTCCCTGTTTCTCCCCAGCCCATTTCATCAGCACGGAAGCTCAGGCAAGCCTCCTGAGATGATTCTTTCTTCATTTTTCAGGTGCAAGTTCTCTCCCGTTGTCCTGAGTGCCCGCTCCCAGGCCCTCTGTATGAGTGACGCTTCAGTCTGCCATGGAACCTGGCCCTGCTCTGGCCTGGCTTCTGCTCCTGAGCCTGCTGGCAGATTGTCTGAAAGCCGCTCAATCACGGGACTTCACAGTGAAAGACATTATCTACCTCCACCCTTCAAGTAAGTCTGTGCTCTTTGCTGCAGAAATATCACTTTATTTCAAACAAGAGCTGGTTCAAAACCTGGCCAGGAGAAGGCATCCTTCAGTGCAGTGAAAACCTCCAGTGATTTAATTGTAATTCACAAAAGAAATTTTTTGCTTTACTCTCACCTTTTCACAGGAAGTTTTTTCTGTTGTTGTTTTAAGGCAAATTATTGGGCTTGTTTTCTCTGTTTTCTACATAATCCCTCTGATTCTGAACACTCTTCCCTTGTACTCATGCCAGCCCTAAATCAGCTATTAAAGTGAACCACCATATCCTAGAAGGAGGATTGTTTGAAAAAGATCAATCCTTTATAGGTAAGATAATAGTTGGTCTTCCTCTTTGTGCATGTAATTCTCAGTTTCAGCATAATTTCCTCCCACAGCTTCCGATGCTTTGTGCCTCCTTTTGGTTTCCTGTGTTTAAGACTTATCTAGGGAGTGCATGATAACATAGATGGCCAGATCCCTGCCCCAGAATTTCTGATTTGCATATATCTCAGGCTGTACCTCTGGATTTTTGCTTTCAGCAAGAACTTCAAGTACTTCGGCCACAGATATTCTAAGCATCACACTTTAGGAAACACAGCAGTTTGACTTCCTCCTTCGGTCTCTATCTTTGTATTTACTGTGTCTCTTTGTATGAATCCTTTTCTGTATTGCCCCTGTTGAAGTGAGAGCTGGATGTATTGTGTATATTCTGACCTTCAACTTTACCCCGAGGTGCATTACTCTTTTGAAATGCTCTGCTCAACAAATATTGAGCGTTCACTGTATGTCAAGGATTGTGATAGGCATGAAAACATAAAGTCAAATCAAACACAATCCTTGCTTTTGAGGATTGCATAGTGTACAAAGTGGAGGCAGCCATGCAGACTCCGTCAATCCATGTGGTTGGAATATTTAATGTCTACATGCTCTGGGTTAGCTGAGAGGTGGTGTGCAGACTGCCCTGGGGCTTGGAGTCCACCTGACCTTGGGTCAGCAACTAGCTCAGCTGCTTTGTGGCCTTTTGACTTGAAATAAATTCCCTATCATTGTGAAGATTAAATTAAAAATGCATATGAAGCACTTAGCACTGAGTGGGACATAGGAAATACTCAATGTTAGGAGAATTTTTTTGTGTTAATTTTGTCATTTCTAAAGGGATAAAGTAATAGAATGCATACTCTGAAGCATTATTTTGTAGAGCAGAAATCATATCTGTAGAACACTAGGCCTATAGCACACCTGGCAATCAAATAGTTGTTTACATTATTCTTGTTATTATCATTGGCTTAGACAGTAAACTGGGAGTGCTGAGAATACACGGCTCCAGTATTGTATAACTCCAATATACTTTTAATAGGCAGCAAATAACTTCTTTAGATTTCTATTCTCTGTACCCTCTCACCAATATAGTTAGGTGCCCACTGATTAATTGTATGGAAGACTCATCAGGCCACTTGTTTTGTGGGGCTTTTTTTCCATGCATTTTAATAATATGCATGAAAAGAAGGTGGTTTAATATTTGTTCTGTTTTTTAGATTGGATCTTTTCTCCAAACAGGCATGCTACTTTATTAGACTTGATGAAGCAAAAACCTAGGTTTCTGTCTCTTAGGGTTGATTGCCAGATCAGCTTCTGTATGGTTCTTTCTCAACTTCAGTGACAGACTCAGTAGTTACTGGGCTATAAAGCAGATCCACGCCAGACCTACATGGAGGCTGTGATTGTACACACAGAGTGAGAAGCAGAATTAAGGTGATTAGATTTAAGCAAACAACACACACACCGCTCCTGCCTCAGTAGTGTGGCATGTTAGTGCCCGGTGTGGTGGTCCCCTATTTGAAAAGTCAATTTCAGAAGGACGTCTTGAAGGCTGAGTGTTGCAACCAGAAGTAAATCACTCCTGCTCTTGAGAGGTTGATGGAAAAGTTCTGCTCATATGACAGTTGTTAATTAAATAAAGCCATGGCCTGATTAGAAGAAACTCGCCATATGTAAAGAATTAGTGGGGCTTCCTCTTCCTCTCACTGGCCTGAGATGATCTGTAAAAATAATTCACTATTGGCTTGACCCAGAAAACCAAATCATGCAAATCAGCATTCAAATCTTCATGTTCACTTTAAGAACACTTGTGAAACTGCCTAGGCCATCAAATGTATGCATGTACAAAAACCTACTAAGTTGTCTGAAAGATGTCACTTTACAGAAATAATGTCTCATTCTAACATCACAATGGTGGAGTTGGTAGGTGTGCCCAGGCCAAACAGTGAGGCTGAACACAGGATCAATGGCCTGAAAAGAGTGCTGATTTTTTGCTGCACATGCTTTGAAATGCAGAGTTATGCTGCTACTTAAGGGTTTAGATGTGGATTCACTAGTCATTGAGCCTATCCAGGTAAGCAGGGCATCCAAGATGCACTGCTGAACCAGCTCCCTGGTGACCCTTACTGAAAAGAATCAAATTGTTCCTAAACCAGAATAGGAGGTTGCACAGAAGAAAAAAATATCCCAGAAGAAACTGAATAAACAAATATGTATGGCATGGGAATAAATGCAAAATAAAACAAATGCAAATAAAAGAAAGTATTGGTGAGGTTTTCTGATATGGTTTTTAAACATGGAGGAGGATAGAAGTTGTTCCTAAGTGAGATTGTAAGTAGATGATTAACCAGCAGACCAGGGTCCAAGTTCTCTTTAGAGTCTCCCTCCATAACTTATGATGGGAGTACTGTATAGATTCTTGTAAGAGTGAAGTTAATATGAATGGCTCCTACTTGGCCAAAACTTTTATTCTGTCCACTTTTAAATCAGCATTAGCTTCTCATTTCTTTGAACTATTTTAGGAGTTGTGGTGTGTGTTTTCACATTTTGACTTTTTAGGTGGCATGGTTCTCGGCCCTTGAGCATAAGACCATATTAAGATGTAGTCTCTACAAATAAACAGATATCTGTGGAACATAGACCGTAAAAAATGAGGGAAGTATGGGATTAGTTTGATTTTGAATTATTTAGATAGTCACCTCACTTTGTAGATGAAGACACAAACAGGGTTCTTTGGGTCAGTGAGTGAGCCACATTTCATTAATGTTACAATATGTAGCATGAAGCTTGGAACCTGCTGAAGGAGAAACATGGTGATGCTGGAGGTATAAGACACACACATTTTCTGTACCAGACTAACAGAAGCTCATTTCTCATCATTTGGATGCCCAGAAGAACCAACACGGACACTAACTAGGGAGAGATTGGAACCCAGGTTGGGAAAACTCAGCCTCCCATGACTAATCTTTTCTGCTCTCTGGTTTCCTAATCTTTGAAGTTTCCGAACATTTAAAAGGGAGAAACTTCATGGCTTTCAAATCTGAAGCCTCAGTAACGTTCTTTTCTATAATCCTGGTGTGATTTGCTGTTGTTGAGTTTTTCTTTGCTTTTTGTATGTGAAAAAATGAATTTCTTCCCAGCCTACAATTAAAATACCAAATCAAATAAAAACTTTCAAAACCTATTAAGAGAAATTGAGCCGCTTATTTGGTAGTCAGATATCATAAGAGATAGCAGAGATTAATATACTAAGTGGCTGCAACCTATTCTTGGCCTCCATTTCTTTACTTAGAATAGAAAGAAACCTTTAAGAATATCCAATTTTCCTCTGGTTGCATGTTTTGAATCTTTCCTTAACCGTGTGCACGAAAGAGCTGTATTCCTGTGGGGGCTTGTTAGTGCCCACATAGAGAGCCAAATAAGTTTGTTCAGACTGTACTACTTAAGTCTTAGAGAATAAGAGAACTTTCTAGGAAGGGACCAGATAATGTATTTATTTCTATCAGAATTATGTTCATATTAAACCTATATATACAATATTGTGTTGCCAAGTGGACTGAGAAAAGATACATTTATCAGATTTCTAGAATTTTTATATTTGTGTCCAGTTTTCAAAAACAATGGAAGTTAATTTGGTAAGAATAGAAAAATGTTTGGATGCATTACACATCAGCGTACCTTTCAAAACAAGCCTGTTCTTACCACAGTTTTGTTAACTGAAGGCCTTTGTCTAGGCAAAAGTTGCAAGAGATGGAAACAAAGACTAAATCTTTTCTGATACTGTACAAATGAATTATGGTCGGTTGAACTATGGCTGACCACAAGAGTTAATGGACAGATTATTTTACAGGAAGTAACTGGGCACTTTGGCATTTCTTTTTTTCTTTACAATCACCTTCTCTTAAGGGACCAAGGACTTATGCCCTGAAATACAGAGTACTGAGCTTATTAACTCTGTGATCAAGAGCCAAATTAGATTCATTCACAGCTAGGGCCACAACAATTTGAAACTCTGCTTGCTCTATAATGCTTTGAAGTAACAAAGAAGCAAATAGCACATCTCTTAGGAACCTCTTTCCGTCTTTTTTTTTTTAAAAAAAAAAAAACCCTCTTTATCAGATGCAGTATCAATTAGCAAGTTACTGGAAATAGTTGTTTATCTGTAGACCCTATTTTTGGCAAAATATCTCAAAAGGGAAGAATTTAACCATTTACTTGGTATTATACTTTAATTATCCACTTAAAGCAGTATGTTTGCAGAGATTAGTGAATAATCACACCCTGATTAATGACAAATCAGCATTACCTGCCAAGATGTTGATAAAAGTCCCTATAAGCAAATATTAAACTAGCCATTGAGAATGTGCACAGATATGGAGCTGTAGATGTTAAAAACAAACTCACCAAAAATGCGATAATTTGGTTAATTGCCACTGATATGTGCTGACAAACGCAGAGATAAATGAATTTAACCAAAACTTCATTTTGCTGCCATAGTATTTTAGTTCCCATTCCTGTTTAAATTTCAATATACTTTGGGTTAATTTCAGAATCCAGGCCTGCTTATGTAAGAAATACGTGTTTAATTTAATATGTCACTTGTCTCACAAAAGATCATTTTGAAAAGTCTATTAAGTAATTCAAATTTGAGAATACTACAACTTATTAG